AGCTGATTGATAGGGAAAAAAGAATGTTTATCATAAAAGGGGATGGGTTTTGTTACAAGACAGTTCCTAATATGAGGCTTTGTTGAAATTAGAGTAACATTCAGAAAGCCAAATCTTTATCGTATATATTGGTTTTTTAATATATCGGTGTTTGTTTTTGCGCTGTAGTTATCGGCTTCTAGTTCTCTCCAATTTTTGCTCTGCAGTTTTAAAAATTATAGTTTTTGTTTTGTTTCCGTCTTTTTTTTGGTTTTTGTAGAAAGCTTGGAATATGTAAACAAAAGAATATAATTATGACACTGCGAGTAGGATTTTTAAGCTAAATTTATTCGATGACACACTGCGAGACATAGCGGCCTTCTGAAGGTTGGCAGAAACGATGGATGTTTATACGACGGAGTATTTTACAGTAGCAGTTTATATTGTTTTGGCTGTGATCTGCCTTTTTGGAAATATTTGGGTTGTTGTCACCGTGCTAAAACAGTTTTTTGGATGTTTTCCTGCGGCATTCAATTATATGCATACTCCTAAACCTGTTATTTATTCAGCAAGTGTTTATTTACTGCTACTTTCAATCGTCGATTTAATATCAATTCTTCCGGTTCCAGTGCTTGTCGTGGACATTCTTAACAATGACTTCCCTTTCCGAGCTGATGTGTTGGGAAGATTTATTTGTAAATTTATTTTCTTTTGCGAAGGTGCGAACAAGTCGCTGTCACCACTAGTGCTGACAGTACTGAGCGTTGACCGTTATGTGGCAGTTTGTAAACCGGCTTGGGTTTGCTTGCGCAGACCAAAAATCGCTTGTTTTATGGTGCTTTTTTGTTTTCTTCTATCTCTGTGCTTTGTTGCACCAGTGACAAGTGTAGCTATTATTGGACCGATGGTTGATGAAAAAAATCGTAGCCATACGAAATGTTACCTGGACGAGCTACCATTGTCTTGGAAGTTTGATGTGGTTCATATCTTTGGTTGTTACATACTGCCCTTAGTAATTATCTGCTCTGTGTATACTTCAATACTGCGGAGATTATACCGGCATGCTCATACAAGCACTGTTGGCAAAAAGACTTCTATTCCATTACATCGTGTGGTTAAATGTTCTGCCGCGGTAGTTGGCTTTTATTTTATTTGTTGGACTCCTTACTGGACTATTCGAATGGGTTATATCACTGGTTGGTGCTGTTAATGACATCAAATATAAATTTTTGATCTTGACAAGAATTAGTCGTTTTCCTGAGCAGTTGATAAAGTTATAAAGTAGATAAGTACTTTGAAGAAAATATCATATTTCTGGCACCGTAAGTGTTTCTGCAAACAGTATTTCAGATTCCTCTGACGAATATCAAGATGTGTCTAATGCTACAGCATCACTTGGTAATGTGACTGTAGAGGAACAAGATGTTCCGTCTGGGAGGATGTCATGGACGAAGGTCTTGTCCATATATTTTTTTCACTCTCTCCCGTATGCACAAAGTGCATTTAATTGGTTGTTTTACGCATTCCTCAACAGGAACTTGAGGAATTCGTCGTCAAGGCCAAGTGGCGCTGGACGATCTGTTGGTGTTACAAGTGTTTTAATAGACCATCAAAACACTGCTTCACCGAACGGAAGTATCGTACCATCTTGGAGAAGCAGTAGAAAAACAAATTCTGTTGGAACAAATGTGAAGAAAACATACTCTTGCTGTCGCTCGCAGATACGATCGCGGTACTTTCTTCATTATTAAGGGGAGCCTTTAGACGCTTAGTAGTTGTTTTTGGTGCACAGAAAGTGTATAAATTAGCAGTAAATTGGTTTTAAGAAGACGGCTTCGTGTAGGGAAAGGTTGGTAAATTATTTTTTGATGTTTTCTGGGTACGAATTTCAGTAGTACAACACCATCGGGTGAACCGAGTGGTCTGTTGAATCACGATTGCGGAAAGCTAGGTGCCGTATCTGATAGATCTTGTTTTTCGATGGGAGAGGTTGCATCGCAGGTATTAAAGACCACATCACATGAACTGCAAGTACCGCAGCTTAATACTTCGTTTGGATTTCATCGAACTTCATCAGGCGGTTTAGTAAATGGAGGATCGCTACTTCAAGCTGAAAAGTTTGACATTTCTAAAAAATCGAATACAGCTTCTGAAGCTTCATCCATTGAATGGTTATGATTTGTTAATGATGTTTGTGGTTTATCTGTACAATTCGTTTATCTTACTCTGATATAGTGTTGTAATTTCTCGCCCTGAGATCTATTTTCGAAACAGCTTTTTAACATTGTTTTAAACTTTATTGCATTAATAATCATTCTTTTTGAAGAATATTTAGCGTTACGGTCTTAGTCTCGTATAAGCGAGAATATTTTTGTGACATATCACCAAATTTTCAATAAATGATCAGTTAAATGTCTTTATTCTGAGCTTGAATAGTAGCGGTATTGAGATCTTAAACGCTGGTTTTACAATTTGTTAATATAAATCTTATTTGTTGAGAAGACCTCAAATTCGGGTACGACATTCATAATAATCCTTTTTTATTCTTTTTTTTTTTTTTTCTTGAGAACAAGTTAGACTAACAGGGGACTGTATTTTGATGGCATAACTACAGTCTTAATTTTCCTTTTTGATTGTGAAGGCATAATGGATGTAAACTGATCTCCTTGCACTGAAATATTCATAGACTTCTATCACTGTTATCATTGATTGTGAATTTATTTATTGAGATACCGGTCATTTGCAAAATTTCTTGTAAATGTTCTTACCTTTTTTTCTATGATTATTTATATTGTCTCCTGATGTGTCCTTATTTGATTTTTTATACGTTTATATACTGCCGAATGAAGTGAGTTGAAATCTTAAGTTTATGATGTAACATGTACAACTGTTTTTTTTAATTTGAGCAAGATTACGAGTATAAGTGATAGGTTTTTTATTAAAAAACTGTAGCATACAAAGCTGAAAAGTTTTTGAAAGGTTCAATTTGAAAAAAAAATCTGTAAACTGCTGTAAGAAAGATTTTTTTAGGAACAATTGTTTGAGAATTTGAAATTCTAGCGTTTTTTCTTCTATTTGCATCTTCTTTTAGTTATTCATTGTTACTTACATCTTCCAAAAATAACTGTTTTGAGTATTAATCCTAATTATCACAGTAGACAGCAGTTATCTTCAAGACAAGGTAAAGACTGTATCTCACGTCAGGGGAGATCGACCTTACAGGCAGTTTTACAGAAATATTGCCCAGTGTTTTTTGTGCACGGACTGTTAAAAAATTTGAGTCATTATCAGATATTACTCAGAAAATGAAGGTAATCAAAAAGTCATTATATTCAATTTAAACGATTATTTGAAATTGTCATTCTATCATATTGCTTCTCAGTCATCAAACGATCCTCGATGCAAAGGTGTAACAGTAATCGCTTTCATTATTTATCCGGCTGCCGCAAACTCGTTCAATGTCGAGTCGCTGAAAGGCCAAGCTGTCTGCAAACAACTTCGTGATACTATAGCAAAAATCAAGGACAATGTGGCCGCGCGAATGTTTGAAAGTTGCTTGAAGTTGGTTTGAATATACATTGAAGGTTTACATCATATTATTATTGTTATTTTTTGCCGCTTAGGCAAAATTGATAAAGTAAAAATTTTTTGTTGTTTATGAAAAATTTTGTATTTTTATTGCAAAACTGTTAGCATTATAGAGGTCAGCTTCCCGATATGGAGAAATTGCTTCTGCCGGAGGAAAGAATACAATTGAAGAGATGCATTTTAAGTGCAAAGGTATGAACTTAATTGTTCTGTTTGCACCTTATAGTCTTCTTCGGAAGGAATTTTGTTAGGAATTTGGTTGAGTGTTAAAATAGTTGAGGGAGGCTTTTCAAATTTTGTATTTTTTGCCGACGGAGTTATCAGTGATTTTCTGAGTGAGGAATTGTAGCGTGACTGCCTTCCACCAATTACTACCCATAATATGGTTGATGATGAACATGACCCAGTACTGAACGCTTTTAGAAGAACACAATTACTGAACCGTAGAACGGATCGAGTCAAAGTATGGATTTAAATTTTGTTAATGCTGTTTAGCAGTGCTGTGAGAGTAGATGGTTAATTGTATTGTTCGTATTATGTTAATAATGTAAACTACCAAAATTTTTCAGTGTGCGGTGTTCTATGTTGATGATGACTATGCGTTTTCTTTAGGTGATATTTCATCCAGAGTTCTTGTCTTCTGTTTCTCCGCTTATGAATTTGGATTACGAGGACTTTGTAAGGGGTTGTCACTTGGGTGTCTTCCCTAGTTACTACGAACCGTGGGGATATACTCCAGGTTAAAATAAATTTTTAGAGCGAAGTTATTGCCGGAGTTTAAAGACTGGCGCTTAATTAAAGTTTTGAGTGGTCAGATTTGTTCACGCTACTGGTTTGCTTTACAGCTGAATGTACGGTAATGGGAGTCCCTTCAGTAACCACCAATTTATCTGGTTTTGGCTGTTTTGCTCAAGAACATATTCAGGATCCGCAGTCTTATGGTATTTTTGTCATAGATCGCCGTTTTAAGGGAGCTAACGAGTCAATAGATGAACTAGCAAGACAGCTTTATGATTTCACGTAATTGCAAACTTCTTTCTTCGATTTTACAATTTTTTTTGCTATCAATTTCACCCTTACAAAATGCGCTGTTTCACTTGCTACAGAGTCCTCGTTTAGCTTACTTTCACGACGGCAGCGCATCATCATGCGAAATCGTACGGAACGTTTAAGTGAATTGTTAGATTGGAAAACTCTGGGATCGGTAAATTTAAAACGTATTTTGAAATAAATGCAGAACAGATTTGTGCTCTATTTATTCCTTAAGCTCTATTGGTCACTTTTTTTTAGTTTTATCGAGAAGCTCGCCGTATGGCCTTAAATAGGACTCACCCGGACTTAGGGAGTGTTATTCAAGAAACTTTGCGAAAAATGCCTCGACCTATATCTGCTCCATCTACTCCGGCATCTAGTCGTCCTTCCTCCCCTCAAGAAAGTGACGACGAAACGGATACAGAAGAACAGGAAAACTACGAAGCAGCGTGGGCAGAAAAGAATTGATCACAATCAGTTGACGAAAGATTTGCAGGAATATTAGTTTTTTTAGTGCATGAGGAATTTTTCAAAGTTTTTTTAGCCATATTTGACGTTAAAATTCCGATGTTTTCTTAACAGTTATATTTAGCCGTCGGATTCAAGGTCTTACATGGCATAATTATCGTTTTTTTGTGCCATTTCAGCTGCCTCGCAGCATTTTAACAGATTGCTCAGCTCTTGCTTTATCTAATCTGAAACCACGATTCTGAAATTTTATAGCATGAGAGGAAGTTTTGTTTTATTTGTTGGCAGACCTCACATTTTACTTGAAATTTTTGCTCAGTAATGCTGGTTTTCTTTATTTATGGTGACTCGTATTGTCTAATTTTGTTTAAAGTTGATACCTATTGCCAAATTTCTGTCGAAACTATGTACTTTTTAAATCTTTGGTGCTGTTGCGAGAAAAGATTCTGATCGAATTCCTTGTATTATGGGAATTTAATTGTTTTCAACAAGTTGTAAATGTTTCAAAAAAACACATTTTAGGTAATTTCAGTTCCTAATGTCTATTGTTGGTCGTCTAGAGAAACTACAGTGTAAAACGTATGACGTAGCTGTTTGTGCTGGTATTCACAGAATGAACTGTTCAAACTGTTACCTCCTGAAGATTTTAGTCTGCATCATAGTTTTTAGCGATGACATCGTGATGATTGACTGTAAGTTAGGTATTCGTGGGCGACGAACTGTGAGAGTGAAGACATATACCGTTTTATTCAGAATTTAAGAACTTAAGCTATTGTGCGGATATTTCATAATTTGACTAAGGCACTTTGTTTTTTATACACCTACGTCACTCCTAAGTGAAAAATTTGGATATAATTTGGGTAGTTGTTAAAATAGTGAAACTTAAATCTTCTCAGTTTTTCTAAACTAGGATTTTTCAGGACTTTCTGCAGAACTTTTTTACATTTTTCTTTTGGTTTACATTTATTTTTTTGCTAGTCACTTTATTTTACGGAGAAGCATTTTCAACTTTATTCGGTAATAAAAGATTTGAAGAAAGCTCCAGTCTTATGCTAAACATCTAATCTTTTTTTTTTCAAATTTAAGTGTAGTAACAGGGGTGTCTGGAATAACGACGGAGCCGTAATAATAAATATTAAAGCTGTGCTTTTCTCTCTTCTGAAGAACTGAAATTTTGGATTTACACTTTTTGTGTATATTTCTAAAAGAAGAGCACTCTATTCCTATAACAAAATACTTTTATTGATTTCAGGCAAATTGAACAGGTACCTTTGCTCGTATTACTTTTGCGTAAGGGTTGAGTAAAGTGTGTACCAACTATAGCTACCACGTCACAAAAATTCACCCCAGCTTTCATTTCGTAATTTTTGACTGCATTTCTTTGCCAGCTCTAAATACAAATGACTGAAAGAAATAAATGGCACCAGACATCTTCTGAGCTCTAACAGTGAACCTTATGTTCGAGTGCAAAATGCAGTAGTGTTAAATTAGATGTAACGCACCCTTTGTCGCCATTTCTATTTCAAAGCAAAGTCACTTCAGTAACAACTGAAAAAGTCGCCGAACAACAACACTATTGGCTTAGTCAAACTTCATCTAAGACGTAGTGAAAACCAAATATATTCAGCAGAAATCTGCAATAATTTGCGCACAAATAAGTACCTATAAACTCCAGCTTTTCCTGCTAAATCTTTGTACAGGGTTTGGTGACAGATTTGTAATAAGGCGATAAATAAGACAGTTCCTTAAACAAAGCTTATTTTTATGAACGTAACTGGCACTTTTTTTGTTATAGTTTTTTCATATTAATCGTATATCGCAAGTGTCTCAATGAATCAACCCAGTATTTGCCACAGTCCCTAGTGGTCACCATCAAACAATAAAAAATTTTATTTGAAGTAATTTTTATATTAAAAACTTTTGAAAAAAAATTTTTTTTTTTTGACTTCGTTACGTACAAAGTACTTTTACCTACTGAATAAGCTATTTTTTGTAAACCACAATCCAAGAATTGCTTTAAAATTGTAACACTGCAGTTGTAAATCATTCGCACTTCAAATCACCGTGAGTGACAGTTATGATCGATTTACCCATACATGGTCACCTTCTCTAACCAATTGCTGTACCTCTTGTTTTTGGTAAATTCTGTTATAAGGAGCTTTCTAGCCGTGGCGAACTGTAAATTAAATTTATAAACGTCAGCATAGACATAAACTTTATCTCAATCAAGTTTTTCATATAAAACTTCTTTTATAGGTTATAAAAAACGAGAACTACATATTTTCATATAACCGTTTAATTTTTGAACCACTTTTTCAGGCCCACAACCTGTTCATTGAATTCAAAATTGTATGTTGTTTTCCTCAAAAACTGCTGATAGAAATTTAACAGGTGGAGGTCATAGGAGCCGACAACTTGTTTGCTTTTTGGCAAAGTGAGACGATAAGGTTGCAGCAGGGAAGCCGTCAGAGTACCCAAAAAATGCCTGCTTATTGAATAATCTAGTTATTATGATCTTATTACAAAAACGCCCAAAGACGTGTAGATAGTGTAACAGTAATCTTCAAGTACTTTTTCCATAAATTATAGATTATTTTAATGAAGACCCACTCCTGGTTTTTTGTGAGAATTAAAAATGTTAGTAATGTATCATTATTTAGGAAATAGGCTAAGACTTTGCTTATCGTGCAGCACCTGACGGAATAATGGACCACTCAAAAGTGAGTATTCGTGCAATGACCAAAAATACTACGATTTAATGACTAAGCAGTGCCCAAAAACTTGCGACTGATACTAGAGCACGCAGGTTTGAGTGGAGTCCCTTCTAGAGTTTCCGATGAAGCCTTCTAAAAATAAGTTTAATATATATTTGCTGTTGGCACAGTGACCAATGAAATTGTACTCTAAATCGCTTTTTAAACATCTGCATTAATGATCTGTCAAGTGTTAAAAATGAGTATGTCCTGTTCATATATTTAAATGACTTTACAGTTTTTGAATAACTAGTATTCTTATTTGCCTTCTGGAAGATTAGAATTTTAGACTAGCAGTTTTTACACAGTCTTTTCTACCTACACAAGAACGCCATATTCCTATTGAAAAACATCTTTGTTGGTTTTAAAGGAATTGATTAGGTGCACTTCGCTCCTATTCCTGTCACGCGAGGATTGAGTAAAGCGTTTAGAAACTAAAATTGATAAGCCACTAAGATTTACCTTAGCCCTTATTTTTTAATTTTCAACTGCAGTTCTTGGTCAACTAAAATACAATAAACTGAAGGAAATAAATGGCACCAGACGTCTCCTGAGCTTCACCAACGAACCGGGCCTGCATTTAACTGTAGGATCAAGTAGTATCACATCAGACTTAACGCACCAGTTGCCACCATTTCCACTTCAAACCAACATCACTGTGCAACTAATTAATTTAATCGTCAAAAAACAACGCCTGTTGACTCAGTAACACACTTCCAACACTTCCATTAGGAAACACCGGAAACTAAAATGTTCAGAAGAAATGTGCAGTGATTCACATACAAAACAGCTCCTATAAACTTCAGCATGGAGAACTTTGGGAAACTTGACACAAAAAGTATTACTCTATAACCGAGGCGGAAAAGTTAAAGAGTCACCCGCGACTGGCGTTCCAAAAAAACAACCAAAGCTTCTGCCAAAGAAGAATATTCCAAACGCCATTGCGATCGCATCAAGGCCCAGTCACTTGGTCAGATCTTTGGATGTCAAACAGATAAGCACTTGAAAAATTCGAAATAGGCACAGCTGATTACGAAGTTAACAAAAAGTGTCGTCAGAATCCAATTCATTTTGGACTTCATTAAAGCGTTAATTTTACCAAAAATCGATGAGGAAAATTGTTAGCACATTTCTTCTTAGAAACAAGCTTAAAAGTAAAGTCAAAATTCCTTAACTCTCCTGTAGCGACAGCTGCCAAGAAACAATTTGTGATTTTCAGTTATCCGCGTGCTTAATTTATTATAACGATACAGCCCAAAACAAAAACAGAGGAAGAGTAAATAAGCAAGCGAAACAACTACTAAAAAAACTGTGTAGCTAAGCTAATCAAGTGAAGAATTTTTCAAATACAAGGAAAGACAATTTTGGGTTAGGTAAATAAATATTGGATTAGAAACTGAGAAAATGAAACGTTATATAATGAGTCAGTAGAGGTTCGGACTGGACGCCCTGTTGAAAACATTTGTTTATCTAATGAACAATATGGCATTTCTTTCTGCTAGTATGACGTTACTTCACCAGTTCTTATTAATTCTTCTTTAACAAATTTTGTCGACGTTTTTATGAAATTCAATTTAACAATTGCAATGTACCATAAGAATATTGGGATAATGTGAAAGTTTGACCTCTCTAAAAAGGCTTATTTTGTGTAGGCAAAATGGAAAAGTATAATGCAGAGACAGGGAAGAAGTTTGAATCAAACCAAAAACGACTCGCCAGTCAGTGTGTCTCATAGAATAAATTTGCAACAAAAACTTATTGAGAAGTATTTCAAGTTTCAAAGCATAATATCCTTATAAGTCAGCTTAACATTTTTAAAGAACTTATT